GGTAGCAGGTGGACGAGACAGATGTTGTGAGTCTGGAAGGAGCTGGTTGGGAAGGGCTCTGGGGACTGAGGAAGATAGCAAACCTACCTCAGACCCCATGGCATGTGGGATGTGGGAGAATTATCTTCCTCTCCAGAAGAAATGCTGCTAGGGAAGCAGTGGTTAGGCTGGTCTGTTAACTCAGGGGGTTCTGGGAGTTTCTATAAGGAGTGGAGGATGTAGAGTTTGTTTATTTTCAAGTGGGCATTTCAGAAGCAGCCTAGAGGAGATCAGGAAGGAGAGAAGCTGGGGGCTGGGGTCATGGGTGAAGAATTCACAGAGAGGAGAGGTGACCAGGGTGGCCAGTAGTTTAGGCACTGGCCAAGGAAAGCAGAATGGGATTCGTGATGAGACCAGCCCAGTGACAGGATTGCAAAAGAATGAGTCCTCCTGACCCAGTGGGTGAGGTTGGTGGTGGAGGGAGGCTGGAAAGAGTCAGCCTTGGCCGGGATTGATTGTGCTCTTAGGGACACACTAAAAGAACCAGCCCTAGGAATCCAGACCCATGGTTCTAAGCGTACCCAAGGCTTCTGTGGGTCAGGAAAGAAGATTGGAAGCAGTGTAAGTAGCAGCAGTGTCTCCATACTTGCTTCTGTACTGGGGAACCCCGTTGTAAGTAAAGCCACCACCCAGGTCGCCCATGGGATGGACAATGATTCCTGGTCCATTACACTGGGACTCACTGCCCAGTGCTGGGGGATGGCCACTTGCCTTCATATATCTTCATACATCTATTAAATTTGTCAAAAATTCAATTTACACACAATCCTTCAGGAACACACCTACTGTATAAAGTTAGTGCTCTCATTCTGGAGGAGCCTGGAAAGGGGCTTCATTGTGTCCGAGGAAACTGGAGAAGCACACGGATAAATAAATGTTGGAGCAGTCGTCTCTCAGGGTCATGACAGCAGATCATGGAAATGTGTTTTCTCATTTCCTTATGTTCCACAGCTCATGTGCTACGCAGCTGTGATTTATTTTCAGAGCACACTTTGGAACTTGACAGGCTCGCATGCTGGCCTGCTTCACAGCAGAGACTGTTTGCCGTTTGGTAGATGATAAAGTGAGTGACAATTTACAGTAAAACGTCCATAAAAAGATGATGTCTGTGAATGAGACAGACAGGTGTCAAACCTGGGGCAGCAGACAGCACAGGACGGGCAGACGCTCAGGGCCTCGTCCACATGGGCCGTGCCAGGCTCTCCTCAGACTGAGCGTCAGCCTCTGCAAGGAGTTGGATTCTGGTCTTCACATTCCACTTAAAGATGTCCAGATCAATAGTGAGCGTGATGGTGAATACAGGTATCTAGCGAGGGCTGTGCACCCTGCAGAACCTGGTCCACATGGGAAGTGGAGGCCACATTGTCCCAGCTGCTGCGATAGGTGCCAAGGAAAGACAGCTGACCAGGCTCAGTCTAACAGCCCGTCATAGCGGGCTGCAGGACTTGAGTTTTCTTGGGAATCAATAGTGGGGAGCATGGAAGGTTTTCAGGAAGGAGTGTGACATGATCGTTTAAGTCTGCCAGGAAACTCACTCTTTGCTTTCCTTGGTGTGCAAATCCTGTATACATATTTTATCACAATAATCCTGAGATCAAGATCGTACTCTATTTTGCAGGGAGAAAAAAAAAAAAACACCACGGACCAGCGAATCTAAGTGCCAAGGGTCTCACACACACAAATGATAGAGCCCTGCCATCGTTTCCATAGTTTAAGGAAAGACTTCTGGTGGCAATGCAGAGAGTGGATTGAAGGGGAAAGAACAAGGACAGGATGGCCGTGCTGGCATAGCTCTCCATCCAGGCGAGCAGTGAGGACAGGTCTAGGGCAGCAGCAATGCAGAGGGAAGAAGTATGTAGGCCAGAGGTACCCAGGAGGTGGAGTTGACGGAATGTTAGTGACTGATCAGGTGATGGAGTGAGTTTTTCATATTCTTTATTTAATAAGTATTTATAGAGCACTTTCTATAAGCCATGCACAGTTTTAGTCGCTTTCTAATATTAACTCATTTAATCCTCACAACCACCATCTGAGGGAAGTACTATTTTTATCCTCATTTTATACATGAAGAAGCTGAAGTATAGAGATGTTAGATAACTTGCCCAGGGTCACACAATAAGTGAGGCAGGCAGGATTTAAAGCTAGGTTCATGCTCTTAACTACTAGATTTCTAGCTTGAGCGACTGAGAAGTGGTGGTGCCGATGGCTAAAATAGGGAGCTGTGGGGAAAGGGCAGCCCTGGATGCTTTGGACAGGACAACAGATTTGGGTTTGGACCTGTGGGATGTGAGGTGTCTGTGAGATGCCCAAGAGACAGATGGACACACAGGAGCTTCCAAGAGAGTTTGACTGGAGATGGCCATTCTGGTGTCATCAGCATGTAGAGAGTGATGGAACCAAAAGAGCCACCAAGGGTCCTGGCTAGGGCAAGAGAGAGAAGGGCCCAGGCCCCCCAGAATGCCAACACCAAGGAGTCACCACAGGGGCTGAGAACAAGCAAAGAAGAGGCAGGAGAAACGGGTGTCCCAGGGTGAGAATGTTCCACGAAGGAGGCTCTGGCCGAGGACAGGGATGAAATTGAGAGGGACTGAATTGTGTTTATTAAATTTGGCAACAGACAGGGAGCCTGTGGCCTAGATGAGAGCAGCGCTGTGGAGCTGTCCTGAAGGCAGCCTGTGGCAGCTGGCCATCATGAGGAGCAGGGCGTGGAGACAGCGAGTATGGACAGAATGCTGTCTGCAGGCGGGGAGAGGACAGGAACTTCAGGGCCAACCAAAGAAGGTTTATTTGTTTTTTGGGCCAAAGAAGGTTTATTTGTTTTTTTTCTCCTCTGTGATGAAAGAGATTTAATTGTTTGACTACTGGAAGGAGTAGGAGTAGGGGGAGAGAAGTTAGAAATAACTGGTCGGGGGGACAGTTGTGGGGACAAAGCCCCTTGTGGTGGGGAGGACACACTGGAGATTCAGCATTTCTTCTGAGATGAGAGCAAGATGGATGATGGGTGCAGATGAGTTTGTAAGTGTTTTGATGTAGAAACAAGGATATAAAGAGGTAAAAATCCATTTATACCAGCATGCTACTTAATGCCAACTTTGTTGAAAAGTCCTGTTACAGATAGGTGAAAACTGCTCAATTCAACTAACGTATACAGTGAACTGGGCACTGTCGGCTGTACTCGGACACAACATTTTTCAGCTTTGTTCCTTCCTTCGAGGTACACAGCTCAAGGTCAAGGTAAACAGGCATGTAATTAAATCATTACAATACAATGTGGAAAGTGTTATAAATGCCCGTTTCCTCCACCAGACACGATAGTAGACGTGGTCTTGCTCATATTGCATACCCAGAGCCTCACAAGATGCCTGGCACATCAAGAGCATTTGATAAATGTTGAGTGAATGACTGGATGAATGGATGAAGGAGGACATAGATGAGAAGCTCTAAAAAACCTAGAAAAGACTTCCTAGGGATTGTGACATTTGAGCTGGTCCTGAAGGATGAGTAGCAGTTCACCGGAATGACAGTTCATGGGGAACAGAGTGAGAATTTCAGGCAGAAAGGGCCATATCTGCAGGTGCTTGAGGGCACAAGGCGCTTGTGGAGGTGCAGGCGTGGCGAGAGCTCTGATGAGGCTGTGGTCCAGAGCTGCGCTCTGCCACCAACCGCGGCTGGTTACCAAGCACCCAAAACAGGGTTAGTTGGAATTGAGATGTGCTCCATGTGTGAAATACACACCGATTTCAGAGACTTAGTATGAGAAAAAGAATGCAAAATATCCCATTAATAATCTTTTACATGGATTACATTTTAAAATGATAACATTTTTGATGTATTATTAAAAATACTTTCCCTTGTTTCTTTTAACTTTTTTTTTAACATGCCTAATAGATCATTTAAAATTACATAGGTGGCCTTTTCCTACTTCTCTTGGACAGGGTCACAAGAAACGTAGAAGAAATGGGGGGATGAGTGGCAGGCAGGGGAGTAAGGAGTCAGGGTAAGGAGTTCCTGTAAGCAATGCAGCTTTAAGCTAAGGGGGGCACAGTCAGGTTAGTGTTGTCTAGACAGCCATCAGCATGTGAAAGGTGAACTGAGGAGAAAGGATGCTGGAGGTTGGAAGCTAGTGAGTGTCCACTGAGGAATGACAGCTGGCAGGGATGACCGAGGCAGAGGAGATAGAGAGACAGAGACTGAGTGTGCAGGAGGTGAGGGAAAGGAAGGGCTCAGAGATGACATCTAGAATTCTGACTTAGATTTCCATGTTGATGGCAATGCTTTTGCTGATAACTGGGAAGGAGTGGGTGATGCTGCCTTTGAGGTATACAGTCAGCTGCTGGTGGTTTAGATCTGGGGCTAAGGAGATGGAAGGATTGGTGCTGGAGATATAGATGTAGGGTCATTAGCATCCAGAGGTCATCATCAAAACCTTGAAGTGGATAAAATCATTTAGGGGACGCATAGAATGACAGGAGAAGATGGCTGAGGTCGGAACCTCTGGGGAATGAAGGGGCAGACAGGAGAAGAGTGGAGAATGCTGATTCAGAAGCCAAGGGTAGGGGAGATGTTTGAGCAGGAATCCGCATGCAGCCATGTAAAGTTAAGCAAAGCAGTCAGAGAAGACAAAGGGAAAATGTGTTTTGGATTTAATAAGGAAGTTGTTGGTGACCTTGACAAACACAATTTCCGGGAAGTAGTGGGGGAGAAAGCCAAATCGGAGTGACACGAGGTGATGGAATCCGACAAGCAGAGACGGCAAGTGTAGACCACTCTTTGAGGAAAACAAGGCGTTTGGAATTGTGTCAGTTTCATCCCTCCATGTGTTTCCTGCCGAAGAATGTTGGGAATTCCAAGAAACAAACAATTTGCATGGCCCCACTTGTCTTCATTTGGAGGAAGCCCTCCCCTCACCTGCACCCCCCAATCAAAGGCAGAGGCTTACACAAATGTCCTCTCTCTCTTAGGCAGGATCTTGGACCTGAAGACTGGGACAGTCAAGAAAGAAGGGCAGCAGTCGTCCATGAGGATGTGCATGGGCTCGCGGAGGTCCTTCATCTGCAGGATGAGGTCTGTTGGGACGGACAGTGGGCTGTGGCTGTGGCTGGTTTGCTCCCTTCTCATCTCCATTAAGAGCCTCGACCAGCTCTGCCAAGATCACACCTGCCGACTCCAATTCACTCCAGTGACTTTGTCTTCTTGACTGTAGTGTGTGAACTTCCAGATTCCTTGGTCTGTCTCAGGAGAACCTCCTCCCTCTTCCTCCCATCCCAACTTGTCTGATTTCCCATCATTTTCTGCCTATTCCTAATTTGGCTTTCCGTTCTCCACTATGTCTCAACTTTCTACCTGTTCTTCAAGGCTCTTTTCAACTCCAGCCTCTCCAGGCTCCTTATTTCTCAACACATTTTATATAAGACCCACTGATTTCATGCTTACTCTTATATTTCCTTTGCTAACTCATACACTTTTAATTAGTCTTTAATTATTATATTGGTGATTGATATTCTAAGTGTAAATATTTTGGCTCTGTAAGTAAATTATAATTGCCCTGAGAATAGGGGTTGTACCTCTTTGACCCGCCCATGACATCTCGTAGGGTGTACTGCACATATTTGGTTAATACATGGTTGTTGAAGAAATGCAGAGTGACTGAACTTTGGAGTAATCAGGAGATTGCTCTGTTCCCAAAGAAGAAAGAACTAGGATCTTGAATCCTCAAATCCATAAGACTTCCCTATACCTTCAGCCTTGTGGTCCCAGAGGGATGGATGGCGTTAGCTGCAAGGCAAGAGGTGCAGGACAGAGTCAGTTCTGTCTGGGGTGTGAAGTTCCTGAGGCATTGCCTCCGGTAACATGAGACAATGCCTCTCCTTCTTTCATTCAGTGATTCGACAAGTTTGTATTGAGGGTCCACCTATGCCAGGTGCTCTTCAAGGTGCTGGGAATTCAGCGTTGAATAGAGCAAACAAATCCCTGACCTCATAGAACTTCATTTTAGTGGGGGAGAGACAATAGACAAAAATACCAAGTAAATACACGGAATGTCAGATGGCAGTTAAGTGCTATGGAGGAAAATAAAGCAAATTTAAGGAGTAGGAAGTGGTAGGAGTTGTTAATTTATATGTTATCTAGGGTGTTTAGGGGAAGGTGACATTTGAGTAGAGACCTGAAGGAAGTGAGCGAATGAGACCTGGGACATCTAGGGAAAGAGAACACCAGGTAGAGGGAATAGCAAGTGCAAAGGCCCTGAGGCAGGAGTGTTCTTGGCATGTTCCGGGAGCAGTAAGGCTGCTATGTCAGGAGCAGAGTGAATGGGGTGTGGTGGGGGAGGAATGGTACAAGATGAGGTCAAGAGAGAGTCCATGTTAGGTTATGTTGGCCTTACGAGACTTCACCTTGTACTCTGAATGAGACGGGAGGCCATTGGAGTTTGATCTTAAAAGTAACATGTTGTGAATTACATTTGAGAGAATCACTCTGGCTTTGTGTGGAGAATAAACCTACAGGGGAGGGACTAGCGTAAAAGTGAGGAGGCTATTGTAGTAATCCAGGTGAGAAACGTCATGATAGTGACTGTGCTCAGATTTTGAATATACTTCAAAGATGGAGCCAGCCTTCATGTAGCGTGTGAGAGAAAAAGAATTCAAAGATAGGTCGAGTGTTTGCCTGCCCAGCTGGAAAAGTGAAGCTGCTGTTTACTAAGGTGAAGAAGACTCTTGGAGGAGTTGGTTTGGGGTAGAGGGAAATTTCAAGCATTTGAAGACTGAGATGCTGTCAGACCTCTTAATGGAGGCAATGAGTAGACAGTTGATGTAGAATTCTGGAATTCTATGGAGAGGTTGGTGCTGAAGGTATGGGCTTGGGGATTAACATCAATGAGATGGTATCTAAAACCTCGAGATCACATAAGATCACCCAGGAAATGAGTGTAGGTAGAGAAGAGGTCAGATTCCTGAGCCCCAGGCCACACCTGCATCGGAGAGGTGAGGAAGAACCAGCAAAGGAGACTGAGAAGGAGCAGCTGGGCAGGTGGCAAGGAACAAGAGAGGGTGAAGGAAGTTTCTAGGAGGAAGGCGTGATCCACGGCCAAATACTCCTGATGAGTCCTGACTGTGAGGACTGAGGATCCATCACTGGACCTCAGAGGGAGAACCAGAGGAGCTGGGGCTGCAGGCAGGTAAGCAGGCTGGCCTCCTCTCTCTCTTCCTCCAGGAGAGAAGCCTATCCCCACTGCGCCTGGCACGTGGTCTCCCAGGCTTTCCTGAGCACCTCTCCCAAAAAGTCCACAAGATTCCACACCCATCTTGATTGAGCCCCAGTGTCTCCTGCGTTCTCTGACCTTCTCCTTGTCCATGCCAAGCTTCCTGACAGGGTTGATGCTCCAATCTGAGGGCCAGGCACAGTGGAGCTAATGTCCACTAATGTCACTTCCTCCCCGCTGGAACTGTGACTTGCCACTTGAGCATCTTTTGGGTACTATGAAGTTCCAAACAGCAGATGCTGTAAAATAAGTATATATTTTCACGAATTCAAAGTAATCTTTTAAAGCAACTGTACTTCTTACACAAAATCTGTTAACCTACAATCTTACTCCATCTCAGATCACCAAGGTTGCCTGTGTTGAGGGGGGACCCACGTCTCTAACCTCCAGCTGGGCCCCAAGTGCCCACAGAGGGTTTGAATATGGCTGTCCTTTCCTCCAAGTCAGCTCCTCTCCAGGATGAGCATCTGGAATTCTTCCGCCTGCCTCAGGTCACAAGATGGTGTTAGGGTGACAGAACACATGAACATCTCCATTAGAATTGAGTCTGCACAGACTGACTGCCCTCTATTCAGCTGACAGGGGCAGGCTGGGCGGCAGGATTCACATGTGTCAGTGTCCACCCAGGGACAAAACGCCATCAGTTAATGTCGTCCACACAGCAGGGTCTTTCCTTGATGCCTTAGTCAGTAGAGTAGATGCCCATCCAGCTTGGTGGGCGTTCAGTGTAGCACCAGCAATGTAAGTTCTTAATTGCACAATCTAAGCAGTTCCCTCATGAATGAATTCGTTGGAAGCATCATAGCACACCATTTCTGTGAGTGGCCTCTAACGCCATTGTCACTGCTCTGTCAACCAAACTCAGGCAATCCTCTCCCTGCCCTGCTGTCCCCCTGGAGGACATGCTCCAGGTTGCTTTTCGCAGTGCCAGGCCCACCCTCCCTGCATTTACCTGTGAGGTTGCAGCACTGCATGGCCTTCTCCTCCAATAAAGCAAGTTAGTTTGAAAAAGACACTGGGCACAGTCTGCCCAAGGGCTGAGGGCCATGCCAGCATCCCTGGGCAGCACTGTCTCGGATTGACCCTGCTGTGAAAACATGCCAGCTGGCAGCTGTCCTGGGTTTCAGAGTATAATTGAACTCTTAGCTTTACTGTACTGAATATTAAGACGTCCAGCATGTTCCTTGTCATACAGTTGGGAAATGGAAGCACACGTAAAGACTGAGCATACCAAGCAGCGATCAGAGCATGGCACAGTGCAGATTTTGGATGTTCAGAGCCTGGGATCCTGAGAGGGTCACTGAGAGGAGAGACAGAAAAGGCCCTACCAGAGTGCACAGTGGGATGCTTTACATCCCCTGCCTCCCAGAGAATGACCCAAAGAAAGACCTGATTCTGTCCCCATTCCTCCCTCTGCCCCCACTCTGTCGTTTGCCATCAGCAGGCCTGCAGCTATCTAGTTATTCCTAGGGCCAGAACATTGCAGGAGAGGAGGGAGAATTTCCAAACTGTGGAGCTAAAGCTTGAGAAGGTAATTCTGTTCGTCAACATCTGTTTTGCGTTGATGTCTCTGCTCAGGCCTGAAGAGATGCTGTTGCCATCATTACCTTCTTCCCTTGTTTCCTGAAAGCCACCCAGTTACACTGAAATGATCTGCAGGACTGAGCATGGTCAGGACTCTCCTGGAGTCCTTCAGTAGGTCTCCAGCTTCTGGGCTGGGCCTTTAAACAGTTTTGGTGTGCATTGCAAAGTGAGTCACATTCTTCTTGCCTTCAGTGATAATCAAAATTCAAAGGCATGCAAGCCTGCTTCTATACCTTGGAAGGAATTGGCTATAAGGCTCTCCTGAATAAATGTGTAAGCATCAGATAAGGCCCATCTACGTGAGTGCAGCACTATATATTTTATAAACTTGCCTAGGTCTTCACTCATTCTAATATATTTATCAAATCTTAGGTGTGGAAATGCTCCTTTGGACCACCTTCCTCTAAACAGAATAACCACCATGAGGAAAAGGTTCAGGTCAGTAGACCTTTCTGATGCATGTTTTTGGGCTATGCTGGTAGACACCTTAAATGCACAAAGCTAAGGAGCAGCTGAACTTGAAGAGGGGGCTAAGTGCCAAGAGGACCAGGAGACCCATACATCAGGGTTGCAGTGGCTGAGATGAGAACAAGGAGTTGGGTGGAATTTATTTTGGACTTTCAGACCATATAGAAGGGAAAACAGGATGATGAGTAGTCAAGATTCAAAAACCACAAGGCAAACAAGTGAACCCAGTAGCTTAGATATCAAAGTAGTTATCGACATCCTTGCCTCATTCCCACATGCTGAAAGCAGCTTCACAGATATTCTTTCTTTAGGAATGGCCTTGGCCCTGTGAAAGAAGGAGAAGCCCAGTATGCTGTGGTCCACTGCACAGGATACATCAAGGCCTGGCCTCCAGCAGGTAGGCAGAACCTGTGTATTTATTCCAAGGGAATTGGATGCTATTCTCACCTTGCCATGGTGTCCTGTTAGAAATGTATTCTTATAGAAGGAGGCAGCAAACTATTCTTATTTTCCTTTGTAATTAGAATGTAATGGTCTTTGTAACTGGAAAAAGTCCTGCTACTTGAAACAAACATTTCTAAAAAGAGTGATCCTACAAAGGTGATTGGAGCTTCAGCAAGCCCTGTCTGTGGTCACCCAGAGCACTCTGTAAAGTCAGAGTGACATGTGAAATGAGAGTTGTATCTAAATCATTAGAGAAATGCAAATCAAAACCACAGTGAGATACCTCTTACACTCACCAGGATGGTTAAAATAGGCGGACAATAACAAGTGTTGGTGAGGACCTGGAGCAACTGGAACCCTCGTATATTGCTGATGGGAATGTAAATTGTATACCTGCTTTGGAAAACAGGTTGACAGTTCCTCAAAAGGTTAAACGTAGAGTTACCATATGACTCTGCAATTTCACTCCCAGATATATACTCAAGAGAATTGAAAGTGTATGTCTACAAAGAAACTTGTGCATGGATGTTCATAGCAGCATTATTCATAGTGGCCAAAAGCTAGAAACAACACAAATGTGTACATCAACTGATGAATGGATAAATAAAAAGTAGTATATCCATAAAGTGAAATATTGTTCAGCAATAAAAAGCAATGAAGTGTTGATTCATGCTATAATATGAGTGAACCTTGAAAACATCATGCTAAGTGAAAGAAACCAGACACAAAAGGCCACATGTTATATGATTTCATTTATGTAAAATATCCAGAACAGGCAAATCCATTGAGATAGAAAGTAGATTTGTGGTTTGCAGGTGCTGGAGGAGGGAAGAATGGAGAGTGACTGCTAATGGGTCCAGTGCATTATCCTGTAACCTAACTGCTAATGGGTTTCTGAGGTGACAAAAATGTTCTAAAATCAGATGGTGATGGTTGCACAACTCTACAAATCTACTAAAAACCACTGAATTGTACATTTTAAGAGGGAAATTTTATGGTATGTGAATTACATCTCAATTAATCTATTATTAAACAAAAGAATATATACAGTGTTAAACCATTTGTATATACTTTATGGCCTAGAAAGTGGTCTATCTCAGTGAACGTTCCATGTCAGCTTGAGAACAATGTGTATTCTGCTGTTGTTGGAGGGAGTAATGTTTAAGTGTCAATTAGATAAATTTGATTGATAGTGCTGTTAAGGACTATATACTTATTGATTATTTACAAAATACTGCTTGCTGTATCAATTACTGAAAGAGGGGTGTTGAAGTCTTTAACTATAATAGTAGATTTGCCTATTTCTCCTTGCAGTTTTATCCACTTTTGCCTCACATATCTTGATGCTCTGTTGTTTGGCTCACACATGTTGAGGATTTTTATGTCTTAGAGAATTGACCTCTTTGTCATTATGTAATGCCCTTCTTTATCCCTGATAATTTTCCTTGCTCTGAATTCTTCTTTGTCTGAAATTAATATGACTACACTAGCTTTCTTTTGATTAGTGTTAGCATGGTATATCTTTCTCCATCCTTTTACCTTTAACCTAACTGTGTCTTTATATTTAAAGTGAGTTTCTTATAGACAACATATCATTGGATCTCGTGTTTTTATCCACCCTGATAGTCTCTGTCTTTTAATTGGTGTATTTAAACCATTCACATTTAATGTAATTATTGATTTAGTTTGATTAATATCTAATATGTTTTCTATTCATTGTACTTGTTCTTTGTTTCTTTTTTTCTCCCCCTATCTTTCTGCCTTCTCTAGTTTTCATTAAGCATTTTATGTGATTTTATTATCTCTCTTCTCTTAGCATATCAATTGTATTTCTTTAAAAATATCTTTATTGTTTGCCCTAAGTTTGAAATATACATTTACAATTAATATAAATCCACTTTCAAATAATATGATACCACTTCATAGCTAGTGTAACTAACTTATAACTAAGTTTTCCTTCCTTCCTCCTTCCTATCTCTTATAATATTGCTCTCATTCATTGCACTTATCCATATGCTATCACCAATACATTGTTACTATTATTATTTTGAACAAACAGAAATATGTTAGCTCAATTAACAATAATAAAATATTTTATTTAACCTTAATTTATTCCTTCTCTGATGCTCTTCCTCTCTTTATGTAGATCTGAGTTTCTGACCTATATCATTTCCTTCTTCCAGAAGAACTTCTTTTAACAGTTCTTGCAGGACAGCTCTGCTGGTGATGAATTCTCTCCATTTTTGTTTTTCATAGAACGTCATTATTTCTCTTTCACACTTGAAGGATAATTTCACTGGATATAGAATTTTAGGTTGATGGTTATTTTCTTTCAACACTTTATTTACTCCACTCTCTTCTTTCTTTCTTTTTTTTTGCTGAAGAAGATTAGCCCTGAGCGAACATCTGTGCCAATCTTCCTCCACTTTGTATGTGGGTCACTGCCTCAGCATGGCTGATGAGTGGTATAGGTCCACGCCTAGGATCCGAACCCACGAACCCAGGCCGCCAAAGTGGAGCGTGCCTCACTTAACCACTACACCACCAGGCCAGCCCCACACTCCGCTCTCTACTTGTTTGCATGGTTTCTCATGAGAAGCCCACATAATTCTTATGCATGTTCCTCTATAGGTAGTATGGGACTTTTTTTTTTTTTTCTGGCTTCTTTCAAGATTTTTCTCTTTGTCTTTGGTTTTCTGCAGTTTGAATATGATATGCCTCCATGTAGCTTGTTTTCTTTTGTTTTGTGGTTATTTATACAGCTTGGTATTCTCTAAGCTTCCTGTGTCTGTGGTTTGGTGTTATTAATTTTTAAAATTTCCTTCACATTATTTTTTCAAATGTTTCTTTTGCTGCATTTTCTTTCTTCTCCTTTTCGTATTCCAACTACACATATGTTATATCTTTTGAAATTGTGCTATAGTTTTTGGGTATTCTTTTCTGAATTTTTTTCATTCTTTTTTCTCTTTGCATTTCAGTTTTGGAAGTTTCAGCTGACATATCTTCAAACTCGCTGATTTTTTCCCCAGCTATGTCCAGTCTGCTGATTAATCTGTCAAAGGCATTCTTCATTTCTGTTACAGTGTTTTTTATTTCTAGCATTTCCCTTTGGTTCTCTCTTAGAGTTTCCATCTCTCTGTTTGCATTACCCATCTGTTCTTGCTATTGTCTACTTCTTCCATTAGAGCTCTTAACCTATTGATCATAGTTATTTTAAATTCCCTGTCTAGTAATTTCAAAATCTGTCATATCTGAGTCTGGTTCTGCTGTTTACGTTGTCTCTTTAGGATGTGTTTTTTCTTACCTTTTAGCATGCCTTGTAAATCTTTGTTGAAATCCAGACGTGATGTGTCAGGTAATAGGAACTGAGGTAAATAGGTCTGTAGTGAGAGGTTTTATGTTAATTTCGCTAGGAGCTGGCCGTGTTTAATGTTTGCTCTGTATGTGTATATATTTTTAATTTACATATTTTCTTCTACTTAAACCGTAGTACACAAAATTGTCAGAGTGTTGCTTACCTAAAGGCCCCCATCTAGACTCCAGGACAGGACCTCATGAGGCAGTGATGCCCTCACAGCGTTCAGAGCCTGGACCTCAGCCATGGGGATCCAGGAACAGTCTTAGCAGTGCTCTAGAACTGATCAGACCCAGGGATGTGAAGGAGTTCTCAGAAGCTGATGTTTTAAGCAAGGGCAGTTCAGTAATGCCCTGGGGTTTCCTGTCGCTGACGTGGATGCTCAAGTTCATTGTGCAGGAAACCTGTGAGGTTCTGAAGTACTTAAGAAACCATGTTTGTATTAGAAGGTTGTTTGATGAGAGGCAATAAGAACAAAGGGATGTGAACAGCCTGGAGAGATTTCCCACAGCAGCTCAGTTCACTGAGCAGATGTGGTGGCCTAATAGGTGTCAGTTGTTGAGCAAGACTCTCAGGGCACCAGACATAGGCCCATCCCTCAGGGAGCACGATGTTGTGTGGGTGGAGGCCCAACACGTACACAGATGGCTACAGGAGAGTCAGCCCTGGGGACAGAGGAAGGGTCCTTAACTTGCTCTGGGATCAGGAGAGGCTGCTTCCTGGAGGAGGCCCTGTAATAATGCTGGATGGATGCTGCCAAATTCAGCCTCTTGGGACCCTGTTGCAAGCTGACCATCTCCTTCTCAGTGCTTTCCTCATTTGAATTAGTTAATCATTCTCATTATACCAGGCAAATTTTTCTTTCCGTTTCGGGCCTCAAAGCGCTCTCTTTCTTACCACTTTATTTGGGCTGCAGGCCTGCAATATCACAGAAGAAATGCTGTGATGATCATAAGACTGACTCATAGTATCCTTGTGGGTGAGTGGGAGAAAGGAGGCTGTGGCCCGAGGTGCAGGCAGGTGACTGCATCCAGAGAGTCTGCAGAGACGATTCAGGGTGGCTTTTCTGGAGTGGCAGGTAGTTCTGTACCATGAGTGTTCTGGTGTACAGGGTGATGGGCAGGAGGACTTATTATGCATTACGTCTTCAACGACTGCCCTTGAAACTTTGCCACATGAGAAATGGTTGAAGGAGCCGGGGGTGTTTATCTTGGAGAAAGTGAGACATGACTTCTGTCTTTAAGTATTTGAAGGGGTGTCATATGAAGGAGGAATTAATCTCACTTTGGATAGTTCCAGAAGGCACAATTTGGACCAAAAGAGGAAAGTTACCAAAAGGCAGATATTAACTCAATAGGGAGAAATGAGCAAAGGATGTGAACAAGATATTAGAAATATGTATAAATATAAGTACATACACACACTAAGCATGTGGAAAGAATTTAGTCTCCTCTGGTCAGAACTGCAATTTAAAATAATTTGATATTGTCTCCTGTTACGTATCAAATGGCAAAAAGTAAAAAAGACAAAATACACAGTGTTGGTAAGGTTCAGAAAAATGGACACTTTTATGTACTGCTGGTGGGAATATAAATCAG